ATATATATATATATATATATATATATATATATATATATATATATATCACAACTTTAAACTTTAAAAGCACAACTGTAACGACGTGGGAAAATACCTGAACAAAGCTGAATACCATGCATACATACATACTTTTTTCTCTTAAAAAGGTTGAAGAATGAAAGCTTTTGCAGGAATTCTCATGGGATATTTTATCTTTGACTCTATTATGGCTGCTCCTACAATGAGTTCTGTAACTGATGTTTCCGAAACATATGAATTTGAAGACCTGGAAAACTTACATGACCATGATGAAGAACTTTACATTGATCAAGAACAGGTAACTTAAATTATGCATATTGATTTATTTATTAAGCAATACATATTGCTGAAGCATGATGAGAAATTTTGAATGTGGGACAGATTCTTCTTTGTTAAGAATAGATTTTAGGGAAAGATAACCATGGAGAAAAGAAAAGAGGTGAAAGAAACTTGAATGAAGTAGAATGATTCCAGGAATAAGGCACAAGGTCCTATATGAAAACAGATTACAATTTAAATTAATCTCCCACAAGGAAAAAGAATGTGGAAGTTGATTGGAATAGAGTAAATCAGAATTATGTTACAACATGCCAAAGAAATGTGTGAAATTAAACAAATGGGATGTATGAAAGAGAATATTTGGTGGACTCAGGAAGTGAAAGAGGCACTAGAATCGTCAAACTGGCAGCCCATGTGCCTGATGTGTAATGTTCAGGCCATGCCCACTCTGGGTCCACAAAGGCAAAAAACCTCACGATATATCACATTACATCACATGAAGTAGTTGAGTTTCACACCCATGCTCTAGATGAACAAAAATGGAGGGAAGAGACTAACTGATAAATATGAAACTAAAGAACAGAAATTATATAATACAGAGAAATAAATATACATCTAGGACATAGTCAAACATGGCAAGAAACCACTCATTTTTTAAAATTGTTTTGGAAATGTGTTGAGAAGGGCTAAACTATGGGCTTCCACCAGAGTGACTAGAATTAGAAATGGCAGCTTGAAGACTGATGACCACGAAGAATGCAACACTGGCCAGTAGATCAGCTTTTCAAATCTTTATGAATAAAGGACAGGATCAGGCATCACCCATTCCAGACAATTGTGACTTATGAGGAAGTAACACCTAGTTTTGAGCATTGGGAGATGAGGGAATAGTCACCATACTCAAACCATGGTTGTTTTCCTTTTCTAGTCACATTCACTAACTGCTTGTTAACTACTTTTCAGCTATTAGAAATCTTTGGATTGAGCAGTCTGAAAACAATGAGTGAATCTGCTTTCAGACTCATCATTGATCTGGAGCAGAACCTATCTTGTGAAAAAAAACAACCCTAGAACTTTAACAGCTAAACATGATTTTCAACTGTTTCTAAGTGTTCTATGTTACGGTTTCTTATTCCTTGAGACTTGAAGTTGTTCTCAAGATGTTTAGGAAAGTTCATTTTCTATGCAGATTGCAACTTTAGGAAGATGATCTCAGTTTCCATTCCATTCTTCTCATTGTGTTGGTGAAAATCTTCAGAATGGGTAGTAGTAGTCTGAAATAGTAGACTGGATTTATTTGAATAATCTTGTTATGATAACTAACAATAGTAGAAAGTGTTGAAAACTTACTGTTCCTCAAAACTGAGGATGAGATGATATATTGGCTTCAATTTCTCACTTGGTTTCCAAGTCCTAGAAACTTGGAACTTTTTGAAAAATTTCCTGCTAAGGGAGTTATTGTTCAGAAGAGAAGACTTAAGGGAAAAATATTATTCAAGTAAATAATTTATGCGGGTGTTTCCAAGCAGAGACAACTGGAAAAAGGAAATGTTATAAGGAGGCAAACATGAGAACAAGAAAGATATGGTTAGGTCCAGCAGGAGAAAGGGACTAGGAAGGAGTGCATTCAGTAGGGTAGTTTTTATTCATTTTTACTCTAAAGGTGAGCTTCAAAATGTTCCTCAGAATTACAAAATGTAATCACGTTTTCATCAATATTTCTTTTATGAGGGTTATCCGAGTAATCCCAGGAGTGCCTAAGGATACGCTTATTATTGGTAGAATATCCTAATTTTTATAAATTATTAGAATGGACACAAATTTAATGTGTTTTATTAGAAGCATAAGAGTGTTATGACAGCCACTTGACCACTGAGGATTATTTTGAAATAAAAATAAGCAAAACAACACAACACAACACAAAATATGTAATAAATATAAATAATAAATAAATATCAGTTTCAAAAAGATTGATTTGCAAACTTAGCAATGTAAATCTAGAAGCAAACTAAACCACAAATGGTTTTATTTTTAGCCTATGCTTCACATGAGGTCTGTAAGGTGCGTGCCTAAATGCACCATCGTGCCTACTGTCCCTATCCTATTGTCCCCATTTATTTGTACCTATTTCCTGTATTCTTACTCATGTTTATACTTATATCTATTATTTTGTAAGCAATTGATAAATCAAATAAATAAAATAAAATAAATAAATATGAAATTAAAATTAAAATTAAAATGTGCATACTGCTTCTCAGTCATAGAAGAAGAATTGATGTATTGCTATCATGATCTAATCACAGTCCCTTCTTATGATGTCTTTAAAAAGGCTTTGTCGGTCTTCAAACTTCCCTTCAATGAAAGTCCAAGAGAAGCTCTACTTTGCAAATCAGCATGGCCACTTCTCATTTTAAAGTGAAGTCAAGCAGCTGTCTTGGCTGTGTTCTGCTTCACAAGTCTTTGTAGCTTTGTACTTGCTAAACTTCAGCAACTGTTTCTGAAGAAGGCACTCCTCAAAAAACCAAGCAGACCTTAACTGGCATGTTTCACTCCAAACTTTTGCAAACTGTGCAGCAGAACATATGTCTCTGCTTTCCCAGCATGCCTTTGTCAGAACTGAAAAGGCTTCTGTTAAACACAGTATTTGGATAGAAGGTTCTCCTGGCCTTTAGCAAATGACAGGTAAGAGGTAGAGAAGAGTTTGAGGTAACAGAAAAGGATTGAAAATTGAAGCAAATTGTCTCCTTGCAAATCCAGGTCACCTTGCCCAGGGTTGTATATAAAACAAATTAGACAGAATAGCAGAAAAATTAGCCTTTAATATTTCTGAAAACTAAAAGGTATGAAATTTCTTCTATTGGATACTTGAGTACACAAAAAGAAAAGGTATAGCTGCTTTTGAGGAGCAGCTTCGCCCTCCTCAAATTGGTAAAGGTGGGTTGGTATTATTGCATCACTGTACCCTGAGGGTCCCATTAGAATATTAATTATGATGAATGGGAGTCTGCTAAAAGTGACAAGAATCCCATCCCTTTCCTCTTTCATTCTTTAATAGCCTTTTTTTGGGGGGGGGAAGGTTCAAATAAGGTAAGCAATAGCAATAGCACTTATATACTGCTTCAGAGTGCTTTTACAGCCCTCTCTAGGCAGTTTACAGTCAGCCTATTGCTCCCAACAATCTGGGTCCTCATTTTACCAACCTCGGAAGGATGGAACGCTGAGTCAACCTTGAGCCTGGTGAGATTCGAACTGCCAAAGTGCACAATAACTTAAACCATTATTTATTGTTATATGCTTGGTTTAGATTTGAAGTGAAACGTGCAAAACACAAAACCTGAAGAGCAAGCAGGCCATTGCACATATTATTCATTACAAAAGCATGATACAAATCTAAGATAGTTTTGTGTGGACATTCTGTTGCCTGATTTTGCCCATTGTGTTGAAAAGGTTAAAAAAAAGACCAATTTCCAAAAATGACATGCAAACATCAAACAGAATTAAACCATTCCTCATATTTCACCTTTTCTTAATTAAACTTCTTGTCTACTTAAATATCAGCAGTGACTGTGACAAAAATATTCATGGAATGAATATGTGTACTGAAAAATAATTTTCACAATGAACAATGGGATTCAAATAATCAAAATACTTAAATACTAGACTTTGCTTTTGGAAAACACAGCTCCTAATAATTCTATAGGACTGCTATTGCCAAAATTAAAGGTAAAATTCTGATTGCCCAAAGAACAAGAAATATTTTTCATGACCACCAATCAGGGTAATTTCTATATTTAACTTAAAACTGTAATAACAATCCTTTTTGCCCTGACTGAAAGTGTGCCCAACATATACTATAAGTTGTCCTTGACTTAGGATCACAACTGAACTCAAAATTTATGTTGCTAAGTGAGACATTTGTTAAGTGAGTTTTGCCCCATTTACAACTTTTGTTGCCACATTTGTTAAGTGAATCATTGCAGTTCTTGAGTTAGTAACCCAATTGTTAAGTGAATCTGGCTTCCCCATTGACTTTGCTTGTCAGAAGTTTGCAAAATATGATTACATGACCCCCAGGACACTGCAACTGTCATAAATATGAACCAGTTGCCAGGCATCTGAATTTTGATCACGTGGCCATAGGGATGCTGCAATGGTTGTAAGTGTGAAAAATGGTCATAAGTCGCTTTTTTCAGTGCCATTGTAACTTTGAACTGTTACTAAATGAACTGTTCTAAGTTGAGGTCTACCTGTATATTGTGATCTACATCATTTAGATTGTCTAGAGTCTTAAGCAGGGAAGCCAATAAATAAGCAATTGAAACCACTCCAGAATCCATTTTAAAATATAGCTGCTTTCATCTGAGGGAATAGGGTCATTTGAAAGAAATTGTAACTATCTGCTTAGTTAAGGGGAAAAAGGTTGAATGAAAAATTCATAAATAAAGCAGCAGAATTCAATTATAGAGATTAATAATTTTATTTAATATTTTATTTTCTCAGCAATGCTAGTCACGATATGTAATGACCCTGAGTGAACATTTAATTAAAAAAACCAGGACAGTCTTTATCTAGAAATTGTTTCAATCAATTTCATTTTTTCTCAACTGAACTTGAGAACACTCAATTTCCCTCAATTTTATATCCAAAATAAAAACAGGAAATGCTTCATTCGTATATAAGAGCAGCATTCAGTGTTTGTACAACTTCATCTCGTGCACCAGTTACTGCCTTTCCTAGGTCAGGAATCCCTGCGGTCGGTTACTCAAGCCCTAGTCATCTCATGTTTGGACTACTGCAGTTTGCTTATGTGGGGCTAACCTTGAAGAGTATTTGGAAGCTACAGCTGGCTCACAATGCGGTGATATAGATGGTTCTTAGCAGAAACTGATGATGTTATTTAGTTTGGTAATGAAACACCTACAACAAAACAGTCAAGTTTAGAGAGCACCAAGAAGCCCACAATTCGACCCTGAGCTACACATACTCTCTTCTGAAGATATACCCTACCCTCAACATAAT